ATTCAGTCACGTTACTCTGTTATCAGAATTTTGCATTTGAATTAATTGAGGTTGCAAAGATAGATTAAGATAATTGGATTCACAAAATAAACCTTAGTTTTCTGCTTTTACAATCCAAAGCCATCAATAACCAATGAGGAACAAACAAGTATTTAAGGCTGATGAAAACATAAGCATTGCTTTACAGGAACTAAAAAAAGAGATCAGCTCATGTGTCCTGTGGTTCCCACTACAAAACACAACAAGGCCACAGAAATAAACTGAAGTGCTTGACTTTCCACCGCGGTAGTTGGAGTCTCCTCTTTTTGTTTTATGTTGCTTTGCTTCCACCTATTGGTAGGAATGAAACATCACAGACATCTTTTTAGGGAGAACATATTTATTCATTTCAGAAGGCGCAATTATGAACCTAAATGAACAATATTAACAAACAGCACAAGATAATACACGATGAAACAGAAAACAGAATAGTATAAGTGGATGATATATCAAATGATGATATCAAATAGCTAGAAAATAGATCATATAAAATATAATCTAATATGTAGAAATGTAAAGATAATGGGCTGCATGGTGTCACAGTTTGGAGCACTGATGCCTTGCAGAACGAAAGTTCTGGGTTCTATTACTGGCCAAATGTCTTTCTGCAGGTTCTCCCCGTGCATGTATGGGTCGTTTCCGGGTACTCCAGCTTCCTTCCACAGTCCAAAACTATGACTGTTAGGTTAATTGTCAGTTCTATTCTCACAATCATTGGTGCTTTATCTGGTGTCTACTGTTAAAAGTACATTCTTATATGTTTGTTGAATTTTACTGTGGTCTTAATTTAGTTGTTTTGTACATAGTATAGAATTCAATTTTATTTTCATTACACTGTTACAAGTACAAAGCAAAGAAATCCATTCTCTGCATTCCACCCATCCCTTTTTTGGGGAGCAGTAGGCAGCCATTGTGCAGTATGCAGGTTAAAGGTCTTGCTCAGGGACAAAGAGTGGCAATCCATGGGAGAAGGGCTTAAAGTTAGAATTCCCTAACCACTAGGACACAACTCCCCTATATAAAACAGACTACCCCAGATTTTGGGGTTTACAATGTGCAGGAATAGCCAGGCAGCTACTCTTACTACATTTGCTGAGGTGTAGATTCTTACAAACAGTGTTCTGTTGAGGTCATCAAACGTATTTGCTTTATTTTGATATATTTGAAATCATATTCAAAATGTTATTGTTAACGCCAGTGTGTTGCGTATATTAGCTCCGACATTTGAATCAAGATGCCATGTACAAAAAAATTTGATTGACTGATGACCGTTAATATATGTTTGGTTGAATTTAGGTGAACAAGCTGACATATAACTAACTGGCCTGCATAAAATAACGAGAAAAAAACACCACCGATTTTAGGACAGGATTTCTTTCTTAAATAGAAATTTCTAACTTTTGGGACAATATTGTCTGATGAAGAGTACATTTAAATACACGTTTAAGCCAGAATTATTTGAAATTTTAATGAATTCCCTACGACTTTAAACCTGCTTCTATTAAAAAGCTGGAAATCTGAAGCTTAATCAGAAATATAAGGCTGCATTTGGCAGGTTTACAAACAAATCAAGAATTTCAGAATTTCCTTAATGTGAACCAAACACCACGTAACGTGTCCTTTTGGGTTTCTAGAAGTCAAACTAAGCATTGATCTTCCTTGCATAGTTAGTTTAAGGTGCTAATAGTGCTAACAGGCTATTAGCCTTTTTTCTAGATATGCAAACATAACACACAATTTAAAAGATGCAGAGAAATCCATGGTTGCTATGGTTTCTTTTCATGTGCATAATTTAGAAGCAAGCTGTAATTCTGCATTTTCAGACATTTTCTCAGACCTCACTCAGCGAATCCACCTTTTTTGACGAGTTCTTAATTTCTAAGAAGATTTAAAGTTTCCAAGAAACTGACCATCATTGAATTTGAAGCTTTGAACATGAAAGATGTAAGAACTGAGTTTTCTAAAACTCTGCATTGTTTTCTGTGTGATTTATTGGAGAAACTTTTAGAGACTTTAAAGTTTGCTGATGGTTAAACTAAATACTATTAAAGAAACATGTCTAAAGTAAGAGCTACATGATAAAGAAATAGAGAATTGTAAAGTTAACCTGTTAAAAAGTAAAATAGTCGCAATTTTTTCATATGAAGCATAATTTTAGCATTTGTTTTTGTAGTGCTGCTGAAATAAGCAGCTTAAAACTATTACTTTTAACAATTTTTATTTTTTATAACATAACTATAATTATTACAAATTAAATTGCCAATAAACAGTTTTAAAGTGTTTGCTGCTTCACTTTGATAGTTGGTGTGTTTAAAAGCAGATTATTTCATTAAATTTTAAACATAGTCAGTAACAAGCTTTTTTTTTTTTATCAAACTGTGCAGCATTTTTTTTGTAATTGAGATTACACCAGCCTGTTGCTGTTTTCATTCTCGTCTCTAAAACCAAGAAAACAGAAAGATGGTAGAAGAACCAAAACATCTATTGAAAACTTGTCTTGCGATTTTAAATATTGAAAGGAAAAAGGAAAATAGATTTTAATGTGATGTAATGTTGAACGTATTTTTATGTAATCTGGGTTTTGTAAAGAAATATTCCAAGTTAAGCTTGATAATCTTAGATTTTGAGCAGGAAAATATTAAATGTAGTCAGGATAATGTAAAAAAAAAAAAACAACCTTTGGTGTTAGCTCTTTAGTTTATCATTGCTTTAAATCAAAAATTAGATGCCATCTTCAGCCCTATTTGAATCAAAAGTGTTACATAATAAATTCTTGTATTGCTTAAAAGTTTTCTTGCTTTTTTCTACTGTTTGCCTGTAGAGCTGCCAAAAGAATGATCTAAGAGTTTTGTGACTTGTTTCCTCATAATGCAATAGAGTTGTCAGCCAACCAGTTTTAATTAACTGACTCCATCAATGCAACATGGCAACTCAAAAATCTTTTCATTGCTTATTTCAAAATAAGAGTTTCAACCTCTTGTATTAACCTTAGAGCTCTATCTTTGTACATGGAGTGTATAATAATAACTTAGATTGTTTTCCCCTGGATAGCATCTATGCAACACCTTGCGAGACAGACTCCTATTATTCACAAAATCTGTTTTGGTCTAAATATAATCACAGCCTCAGTCTAATGCGTGTTTTGTCATGTGGTCTTCCTGGTAATCTTTATTGTATTCAGAGAGCAGTGAGAGCTTCAGCGGGCAGGACTAACAGAGAATGTCCATGCTGCCAAGATGAGCAGGTAAAATCTTATTCTCATCTTTAAACACACACTAAAAACTGCTACTGATAAATTTTATATAACAGTAAATATTTGCTGTTTGGTTTTTGTGAAATGAACTTCCAAGTAGGTTCTACTCCAAACTTTCTTATCTTCTCCAGGCCCCTAAAGTATCTGGAAAACGCCATCATTCTCCTGACTCGGCCACGCCTCCCCAGAAGAGGAGGCGTTCAATGGCAGCTCATCCCAACCAACCTCTTGTTGTGACCTCAGCTCCTGCTCAATGCACCACTCAGGTTGAAAGGCTGATCTCTAAGCCTCCGGCCACCATCCACCCTGCAGACCTCCCAGCAGTCTGTCATATGCCAATCCTCAACCAGTCCTCCACTGCTGCTGTGCAGGACAATGAGCCCTTGATGATTTACACAGTAGAGGAGTACCAGCAGATTTACCATGAAGTGGTCGATGACATGCTGAGGTGAATTTATATTGATGTTGGAAGTTGTGACCTCAACACTTAGTCTTAAAGATTGTAAAATTGATAAACCCATGCCGATCTGTTGTCATTTGAGAAATGTCTGCTTTTCAGAGGTTCAAAAATGGTCGAAGGCGACCTTACAGTGTCAACTTAGGGCGAGGTATCAAGCAAAAGCTCTGGGAAAGGATGAACAAGCCCTCTATTACAACGTTAGCCAGCCAAAATGGCCTGATTAATGAAAACATCACCTATGGCTATGGGAAAAATCCTCCTCTTTACATCTTGGATGATTGAAAAAAAAAAACAAAGTTCCAAGACAAAAACTCAGAAACCTGACTGACAAAAATACTGACAATGAAACCAACACTTTTTTATATAATTCTCTAAAAGTTCAGCCTAAAGCTTGATAACTTAAACCAAACCTCTTTGGATCAATCAAAATCAGTTATGGATCAAAGTAAAAAAAAAGAAACTGCTGAGTTGACCTCAACCTCAGTCTCCATCTCCAAACCTTACGTTTACCCGCAAAACCTCCTCATCAGTCTCCATCTGCAGAGTTTAAACCTGCCTACAAAACCTCTACCTAAGTCTCTATCTACAGAGTTTAAATCTACCAAAAAAACTTCCACCTCAGTCTCCATCTGCAGAGTTAAACCTGCCATCAAAACCTCCATTCCCATCTGCAGATTTAAAACCTGCCTGTAAAACTTCCCCCTCAGTCTCCATCTGCAGCTTTTAAACCTGCCTGCAAAACCTCCCCCTCAGTCTCCATCTGCAGAGTTAAACCTGCCATCAAAACCTCCATTCCCATCTGCAGATCTTAAACCTACCTGTAAAACTTCCCCCTCAGTCTCCATTTGCAGAGTTAAACCTGCCATCAAAACCTCCATTCCCATCTGCAGATCTTAAACCTGCCTGTAAAACATCCCCCTCAGTCTCCATCTGCAGAGTTAAACCTACCATCAAAACCTCCATTCCCATCTGCAGATCTTAAACCTGCCTGTAAACCCCCCCCCCCCAAGTCTCCATCTGCAGAGTTAAACCTGCCATCAAAACCTCCATTCCCATCTGCAGATCTTAAACCTGCCTGTAAAACTTCCCCCTCAGTCTCCATCTGCAGCTTTTAAACCTGCCTGCAAAACCTCCCCCTCAGTCTCCATCTGCAGAGTTAAACCTGCCATCAAAACCTCCATTCCCATCTGCAGATTTAAAACCTGCCTGTAAAACTTCCCCCTCAGTCTCCATCTGCAGCTTTTAAACCTGCCTGCAAAACCTCCCCCTCAGTCTCCATCTACAGAGTTAAACCTGCCATCAAAACCTCCATTCCCATCTGCAGATTTTAAACCTACCTGTAAAACTTCCCCCTCAGTCTCCATCTGCAGAGTTAAACCTGCCATCAAAACCTCCATCTCCATCTGCAGATCTAAAACCTGCCTGTAAAACTTCCCCCTCAGTCTCCATCTGCAGAGTTAAAACTGCCATCAAAACCTCCATCTCCATCTGCAGATCTAAAACCTGCCTGTAAAACTTCCCTCTCAGTCTCCATCTGCAGAGTTAATACTGCCATCAAAACCTCCATCCCCATCTGCAGATCTAAAACCTACCTGTAAAACTTCCCCCTCAGTCTCCATCTGCAGAGTTAAAACTGCCATCAAAACCTCCATCCCCATCTGCAGATCTAAAGCCTGCGTGTAAAACTTCCCCCTCAGTCTCCATCTCCAGAGTTAAAACTGCCATCAAAACCTCCATCCCCATCTGCAGATCTAAAGCCTGCCTGTAAAACTTCCCCCCTAGTCTCCATCTGCAGAGTTAAACCTGCCATCAAAACCTCCATCTCCATCTGCAGATCTACTGTAAAGCATGCGTGTAAAACTTCCCCCTCAGTCTCCATCTGCACAGTTTAAACTGCCATCAAAACCTCCATCTTCATCTGCAGATCTAAAGCCTGCCTGTAAAACTTCCCCCTCAGTCTCCATCTGCAGAGTTAAACCTGCCATCAAAACCTCCATTCCCATCTGCAGATCTAAAACCTGCCTTTAAAACTTCCCCCTCATTCTCCATGGGCAGAGTTTAAACTGCCATCAAAACCTCCATCTCCATCTGCAGAATTAAAACCTCCCTGTAAAACTTCCCCCTCAGTCTCCATCTGCAGAGTTAAAACTGCCATCAAAACCTCCATCCCCATCTGCAGATTTAAAACCTGCCTGTAAAACCTCCTCCTCAGTCTCCATCTGCAGCTTTTAAAACTCCTGGCAAAACCTCCTCCTCAGTCTCCATCTGCAGTGGATAAACCTGCGTAAAGCAAGGCCAACAGCCTCCGCCATTCCTTCCGTCCTGCTCTGCTCTGTTATGAGCTTCGTAGAGCTCGAGGAGAGTATCTGCGAGAGAATTGAGATCAAGTGTTATTAAAAAGGGACGTAAAGGACCTGCAAACCAAACTAAAAGTCATTCATCCTTTGAATGGTGTTTGGAAAGTGCCCTGTTGCTCATCAATCAACTAGCTGTTTCCACCATCAAAAAGGGGTGTTTAATTTGGCCTTCAAAAAGTAACATAGTTCTGTGTTTAGAATAACAGTATTGAAATGTTCTTTGTATATCATGTGAATACACTGAAAATAAAATAATCATAGTGCATCTTATTCATCCATTTAAGCATATCATATTTAGATACTCTTAAATAATTTTGTCATGTTAGCATCATAAGACATGGAAACAAATGTGTTAAACCAAATATGCTTGTAATTCAGTTGGGGAACGAGTGGCTGAGATCTCAGGAGAGCTGTGCTTAAGTAAAATGGCGGCATATACGTAGTTCATATCAAATCCACTCAGGTAAGTACAAGCCAATAATTGAAAATTAAACAAAGTAAGGTTTAAACATTAACAATTGTCTTGTATTTTACGAGGAAACAAACTGGACAAGGAGACCTTGACGAACCTGTAGAGCTAGCTGGGTGAGTGTTTCAACAACATCGTATTGGGGAAGCCTAGAAACCCCACATCCACAAACACACCTTCAACCAAACGCTCCTGATCTAGCTCAACCAGTGCTTCTTCTACTGTGTCTCCAGACAGGAGCTACAGCGACGTCCAGAAATCCATCAACCAAAAGGTAACCAGCCTGGATGCCTATCTCGCCTTGTTAGAAGTCCTACATAAAGAGGTTCAAGCCCTGAGAGAGTCGGAGGAATACAGCCAAGGGCATCTAGTCTCTATTACCGCCACGAACAAAGCGCTGAGGGGGGAAGTCATGAAGCTCACCGAGGGGATGATCCAGCTGTATGGTGAAAATAAGAAGATGAAAGAATCCATTCAGGACATTCAGTTGTGAAGCATGAGAGACAACTTTGTCTTTGCAGGCATTCCGGAGCAGCAGGAGGAGGATCCTGAGGTGACAATCCCAGAGTTCCTCCAGAAGAAGCTGGAAATCCTGGCGGATCAGGTAAAAAACATCCACTTTCATAAGCTTGATAAAACCCATCCTAGACCAATTGTAGCTAAATTTGAACACTATAAACAAAAAGAGTAGGTCAGAAGTCGGGGCAGAGAGCAGAGAGGAATGGATTTCAATGTTAATGACCAGTCTCCAAAGGAAATCCTGGATCGTAGGCGAGTGCTATTCCCAATCAGGAAGAACTACATCACTGAAGGCGTCAGAGCTACGTTGCAGTTGATTGTTCAGGGATCAGAAGATCAATCCTTGGCTTTTTTAGATGCACAACAGGTGGATTTAAAGCATGTGACAGCTAAGAAGCTGGGCCTAAGCAGTGAGGCTTTTTTCCATGTCCTTACGGTGAGATATAGCAATATTCCATATTATATGTCCCAGTTATTCATGCATATATTAGGGGTGGGAATCTCTGGGCACCTCAGGATACAATTTGAATTTAGAGGGCTGCGATTCGATTTTAAAACGATTACCAATGTATCTTGAGGGAAAAAAAGTCTAAACAGGATTCCCAGATAACTACTAAGCATTTCGTTTGAGCATTCAAATCCAAAAGAAACATCTCCTAATTAGCTTCTGTAAACCTCACATCTGCTCTATGATGCTTGCATCTATAATTACCTTTACTTCTGTACACTCAATGCTAGTTGACATCCAGCGTAATTATACACTGAACACATGGTGTCAAAGAATTCATGTTCCTTGAAATATGTTCTATGTAGAAAAATGAGGGCCTTGTAACGCTCAATGGTTTAGTTGACTCACTTTTTTCAGGATTTTACTAGGATGGTTGATTAATTCTCCATTTACTGAAGGGGGGAGATCACAGCTGAGTAGCAGGGCTGCAATTAATTAATCACATTTGCATCAGATCTGCAGATATGTCTTCAGGTTTCTCCCACATTTTTTTACCCCACCTTATCCCATCTCGTCAGACTCACACCCTTCCTTAACTGAAAGAACTCACTACATCTACATGAATAAAGAGTTGGTGTTAGCCTTAACTCTACTTTTTAGAGCAAGCTCACCTTGTATTTCTAGAGCCAATTCAGTACAAGATAAACTTTTAGGAATAATGAAACATATGGACAAGTAAGTTCTCATTAAGTTGACAGATTGTCTTTCAAATTAGGTTAATTTATGTTTGGCTATAGGCAGAGATTTAAGATCGTGAACCAGGCATAACGGTAAGCATCCCCAAGGTGCCACTTGTTCCACCTTGAATACTTTGAGATCTCAAATCGTCGGTGCTCATCTTCAGAGGAGTCCCCAGGACTGGCCACTATTGCACCAGCTGCTGCTGCAGCTGATCCAGCGCTTAATGTTGACAACTAAGGTTATCTGGCCCATAATTATCTTTATAAGTACAGCCGCTAGCAACCTAGTTGGCAACTAGCTAAGCTAAATAGCTACTCCAGGTGAGCTTAGCATAGAACAGCCAGGGGCGGAGCTAGATCGGGGGTTAGGGGTGGCCATAGCCACCCTTAGCCAGTCAATTTTAATTTTTCATATATTACTTAATATTTTTTCATATATTCATAATTACTTGAAACAAAAACACTGATGATAATAATAATAACAATAATAATAATAATAATAATAATACATTTGATTTATACTGCACTTTTCATCAAAAAGACCTCAAAGTACGGTACTACAAAAAAGAAAAGTATTTAAAAAAGAAATAAAAAAATTATAATAATGAAAAAAAACATAATAATAATAATAAAAGCTGTTTTAAAAAGAGAGAGAAAAAAAACATCTAAAGGGGACCAAAAGTTTTGCTAAAAAGCAGTGGCACGGGAAGGGGGGTGCTGTGGGGGCTGCAGCCTCCCTCGTCATAGCATCAGCCCCCCATGGTGGGGGGCTGTGGAGTAACATGATATTGTACTTAAAAACATGAAATTATTTATGTATTTATTTTTTAAAAGACTGTGTTTGATATGGGATTAAAATAATGGGCTGTGTATAAGATATAAACAAATGATTCATTATTTTGATATTTCATAAAAAAAACTAGGCTACTCCCCCAGAAGCATCCACCACCTCACATTCATTTAGGCTTGGCTAGCAATAGGCAGCAGAAACGTCTTTCTGACAATTTCGAGGTAAGAAATGGTTTTAATTCCCCTATACTGCCGCATTTAGCGTCATTTATGTGCCTATTCGTCTTAGTCCTGTGGCTGAAGAAGTCTACGCTAGAATAAGGCTGCATATCACTAAATATTATATAAAAATTAAATTGGGTTAAATTTTTTTTTTTTTGTGTGTGTTTTTTTTTTGTTTTAGATTTTGAAAATCTTTCCCCCAATACCCAAGTCGAATGGACTTTCAAGCCCTTTCCCAAAATGCTAGTTTAGGATATTTAGGCCATTTTTTTATTCAAGTATTCCTGATCCTTTTTGATTGGGAGCTTTGTTTGTTTTGAATGATTAAAAGAAAAAGGAAAAAAAATTTAAAAATTTGTTCATGTTTTGGGTTTATCCATTTTAAATGGTAATTTTTTCCAAAAAATTTTTTGAGGGCCTAAAAATTTATTACGGTATTTTAAAAACTTAAAGCCACACCCTTCAAAAATTTAAATGAACTTTATGTTTTTTTCCACCCCAAACCCCAAAATTCAGCCCCCACCTCGGTTTGGGAAACAGGCCGGTCCACCACGCCCGGGAAAAACAAGGGTAATTTATTTTCATTCCCTTTTTAAAATTTTCCTTTTGTACCGAAGAGTATACCAAAATTTTTTTTTAAAAAAGGTTTTAAAAAAATTTTAAGAAATTTCCCATTTTTCTAAATTAAAATTCTGTAAAACAAAGATAAACATTTTTTTAAAACCCCAAATTTTTCCTTTAAATGAAAGAGAATGAATTTCCCCATTTGAGATGAAAAAAGGGATTACATATGAAATAAGATATGTTTTTTTCCCCCTTTTTGGAAAAAAAACCGAAAAAAAAAAAAGGGGGGGGGAATGACTCTGGGTTTTCTAGGGAATCCTTTGTTCATTTTAATTTTTAAATGTTCCGTTTTTGGTTTATTTTAAAAAGGGGTTTCCCCCCAAAAAAACTTTTTTCCCCACGTGTAAATCAAAAACTGGTTTACGTTAAAGTCCCTTTTTTAAAAATCACTCTTATTTAAAGTCAAAAAACCGTGGGTTCAATTTAAATAGATCTTTTTATTGTGTAGTCTAAAGTAAATTACCCAAAAAAAAAAAATGAAAAAAGGATAAGATTTTTTATGATTAGTTAAAACTAGTTTAAAAATATGTAAAATTTTCCTTTTTAAAATTGGATTTTATTTGATTTTAAAAAAAATACAGTTTTAAAATCCTGTTTCCTTTTAAAAGACTAAGCCCAAATGAAAGTTTGTAAATGGGTGGTAAAGATCAGGGAGGGGCCCCAAAGGGAAAATTATGGAGTAAAAAAAATTTTTTGAAAAAACTTAACACCAAAGCAACACAAATTTTTAAATGACCTTTGATCGGGGGTTACAGGGTGTCATTCCCCCCAAAGGTGAATCAAAATTTTTAGTGGGTTTTTAAACCATATCCTTAGCCAGCATTTTTAAGGGTTTTGGTTTTTGATGTCGCCCGTTTTTGGCCCCCTGGGCAAACATTTGACTAGGCCCCTGGTGTCTCAAATTTGCCACGTTTCTGTCTAGGGAGCTCCCCAATTTTAACCAGAGGGGGGCTTCTCAGTGGTTTTGTCACAAAAGGGGGAAAAAATTGGATAGAACGGGAAGGGTTTTGGTGGGGGCCCAAATTTGGCAAAGATCCATAAATTAGATTTTTCTTCTTTATCGTAACCCAGTCACCTGGCTGGTTTAACGGGAAAAAAAAAAAAACCTTACCCCCACTTAGTATTTTTGGGATAAGAAATTTAAACTTTTTTAACAAGTTACGGCTGATTTTAAATAATAGAAACAGTAGATCTGCCCTGTGTTAATTAAGGATTTTAGGAACCCCAGTTTTTAATTGAAAATTTGGGAAAAAATTGTAAAACTAATTTTAAATCATAAATTTAAAGGAAAACAGGGGAGAACTTGCACGAAGAAAACAAGAAAATCTTTGCTGAAAAAATAACCTACTTTAAAGCAAGACCCCTGAAAATTTAAATCTTTTTTAAACAAAAAATCCCTTTAGTTTTTTTCATTAAAAAAAAAATTTAAACGATTGATAATATAAATATTTACAGGTATGTCCCTACTGTAGACCTATACATTTTGAAGGTACGGGGTCTAATGCCCCCCTTGTTCCCATTAAACATAGTGTTTTTTTAAAATGAGGCCTTTCTATGTGGGGACAATTAAAAATGTATAACAAACCTCAAAAAAAAACAAAAAATTAGTAAAGTCCCTTTTGTCCGGGCCCAATCATTTATTTTTATCTTTTTAAACCCCTGAAAAGGGGGTTTTGGGCACCAGGCCTAATCAGCAAAACTTTAAAACATGTTTGGCTCCATCTGTGTCGTGCTGCAGAACTGCCCTGCTTTGTCTTTTTCCCAAAAATTTGTAGTGAAAAATTTTTGTTTTTTTTGTTTTTTTTTAAAACCCCCAGTTTCTATACCCCAGGGGAAAATTTTTAAAAAAATCTAAAGAAAATTTTTCTGAAAGAAATATTTAAAAAACAATTTAAGTTTTTTTAAAAAATGAACCCTTGAATTTAGTATACAAATTTGCTTTGCTCCAGCATTTTTTTTTAAAAGGGTTTTTTTTTAATAAAAGGGGATTATGTGAAACTTGGTTTTCTTGTTTGCTTTCTGCCTCCTTAATAAAGGAAAACTATAATGGGGGCCTATATTTTTAAACCTGGGGCCCTAAAATTCGGGCTTTAAACCCTTCCCGGGAAGGTGATTTTTTTGAATTTGTTTCGTTACCCTAAAAACCACAAAACCCCTGCCCAATTTTGGGTTTAAAAAACAGAAATGGGAAAACAAAAGTTGGTTTAAATTTTAAAACCCCTAAAAACTTTCCCAAAACAGCTGCTGAAGATCTGTAAAAAA